TCACTCTGCACTAATTCTGCCGAGTCGCAACGCTGTGTTGTTCTACGCCATCTCACGTTCTTTTGTGTTTTGCTGTTTTGCTGTTTTGCTGTTTTGCTGTTTTGCGAGCCTGCACTCTTGCCCAATTACGCTTGCTCGTCTTCGTGACTGTATTCCGTTATATTAATACTGGAGTATTCCACACACTGGCTGGAGTGAACTGGAGACACTGATGTAGCTGTTATCGCTCCGTTATTTATCGGGGCATTGTTTCTCCAGAGGAGAAGATCCTACTTTGCTACATTTTTACACGCCGTTTCCCCGGTTTCCCTGGGAAAACTCTCAGCTTTTCACTTTGTCATTCGGGGCTTCGTCTCAAACGAATCAAAGATGGAATCTCGAAAGAGCAAGTCGGAAACGCAATCGTGCTTCAGATTTAGATAAAAAGTGATATTTAATGAAAAAAAGAAAAAGAATATTGGACGATGACAATAATAATAATTATTACTTTTGAAATATGGCTATTTACTCTAGAAATATGGCTATAAATTATTCTCATACTATCGTAGTGTACAAGAGCATCGAACAATTCTTTTCGCAGCTGAATTTGAACATTCGAGATCCCTTTTTGCAATCAACTTTCCAAAACTTGCCGTTTTTACGATTTGTTATTACCCAACGATTGTTATAACAACGTGTTATATAATTTGGCACATTCAAGTCCCAAAGATTTATTTATTTTTCCCCACAAGCGAAAAGCGAATAAATTATGTAACAAATTCGTTCGTCTCTCGATGTGTCTCTCGATTTCTCAACGACATACATTACACACAACCATCATGGAACGAAATACACGCGAGCCATCTATTTTCACACATCGTATCTGATAAATGCACATGAAGTGAAATGCAATGAAATGAAATTATAATTACAAATAGAAACGAAACACGAGCGCTATAAATATTTCGAGTATGATATAATGTTTAAAATATTGCGATTGATGAACAACTTGAATTTACCGAAATGTTTGCTGTATATCAGCATTGGAATATCATAGTGTACATAATTGTACAATTTTTTTACAAAAAGACGAAAGCTTCAAAATTCGCTTGATTCGTTTCAGTAAAAAAGAATAATCAACCACGTGCGAACAAACTTGTTACAAAACCTAATACTTGTACAGGATGATTCTCAAATGTATATTCATAT